GAGCGCAGGGTGCAGCCGTGCAGCGCCTGCAGCAGCTCCCGCAGCGAGGGGAACGAACGATCCCAACCCTCCAGGGTGAAGGAATCGCCTTCGCTCTGGATCCGGAACTGCCGGAATGTGAGAGATGCGGGAGCACCGGGGGCCTGGAAAAGGATGGGAGAGATGGGGAGGAGTCAGTGATAATGGGAACGGGAACGGGGAGGACCAGTGATAACGGGAATGAGAACGGGAATGGGAATGGGAATGGGAATGGAAATGGGAATGGGAATGGGAACGGCATCTCCAGGAATAGGAAATGGGAACGGCATCCCCACCAGGAACAGGAATGGGAACGGAATGGAATGGAATGGAATGGAATGGGAACAGGAATGGGAATGGGGGAATGGGAACGGGAATGGAATGGGAATGGGAACAGGAATGGGAATGGGAACGGGAATGGGGACAGGGAGGGACCGGTGATAATGGGAAAGGGGACAGGAATGGGAATGGGAATGGAAATGGGAATGGGAATGGAAATGGGAATGGGAACGGCATCTCCAGGAATGGGAAATGGGAATGGGAATGAGAACAGGAACGGGAATGGGAACAGGAATGGGAATGGGAAGGAGAACGGAAATGGGAACAGGAACAGGAACGGTGTCCCCACCAGGAATGGGAACAGGAACGGGAACGGGAACGGGAACGGGAATGGGAATGGAATGGAATGGGAATGGCAATGGGAATGGGAATGGGGGAATGGGGGAATGGGGGAATGGGATAGGAACAGGAACGGGAAGGGCAATGGGAATGGGAATGGGAATGGGAATGGGAATGGGAATGGGAACAAGAGCATTGTCCCCACCAGGAATGGGAACGGGAACGGGAACGGGAACGGGAATTGGAATGAAATGGGAATGGGAATGGGAATGGGGGAATGGGAATGGGAATGGGAATGGGAATGGGAATGGGGGAATGGGAATGGGAATGGGAACAGCATCCCCACCAGGAATGGGAACAGGAACGGGAACAGGAACCGGAATGGAATGGGATTGGGAATGGGAACAGGAACAGGAATGGGAACGGGATGGGAATGGGAACAGGAACCGCGTCCCCACCTGCTCCGGGCTCCTCTTGGCCACCGACAGGATGAGGCGGTTGAAATCCAGAACGCTCCAGCGCAGAACGTAGAGCCCGTCCTCCGGCTCCTCCCGGCGCAGCTTGGAGAAAACAAACTCCTCCCTGGAAAAGGGAGAGGGGATGGGAGAGGATGGGAGAGGATGGGAAAGGATGGGAAAGGGATGGGAAAGGATGGGAAAGG